GTTGGTTGCCCCTAAGCATCATCTCCCCTGCTGGCCCCTTGCGGACATGCGCCAGGATAACTCTCTCAAAAAGCTTACCCAGGATCAAGGTAAGACTAACTGGCCTATAGTTTCCCGGGTCCTCCTTCCTCCCTTTTTTGAAAATGGGAACCACATTGGCCCTCTTCCAGTCCTCCGGCACCACACCAGAGCACCACAAGTGCTTGTACAGCCATGCCAGGGGTCCCGCAATGACCTCAGCCAATTCCCTCAGGTCATTTAGTCCAACCCCTGCCAGAGGCAGGATCAATCCTATCCAAACCATCCCATACAAACTGTAATCTAAACTCTATGTAGGGCTACCGGTCAACCCTGACACAACACAGACCGAACACCCTACCCTGCCCCAGGTAAAGCGGGGGAACGATGGCAGCCAGGACCTGCTTCTGTAAAAGGTTGTCAGTATATGCTCAAGAGATCCCAGGTGGAGGTCCGCACCCCATGCTACAGAGGAAAGCAACCCCCCCCCAGTGTACTAATTTGACTATGGTTAAAATCCCTTCTTGGCCCCAAATGTAGTGATAGGGCTGACCTCTGGCCAGGAAACTCCATGTTTGTTCCCAGCAGGAGCATTGGCACAGCCCTGCCAAAATCTCCACCCTTGGCTGCAGCCAGCACCCTGAGAGAAGCTTAAAAATACCTTGAAACTAGAACTCTTGGGTTTTTCTATGTCTTCTTGTCTCAGACCAACACAGCTACCATGTACACCCCTTAAAAATACCTTGACTCATGAAAGTGGGGGTGGCAACCAGCAAAGCCCAGAAGCCTGAGAAATTCCCATAGCAGAACATAGGCATAGCTACGCCTACGTCATCCCCAGCCAGTGGCTATCCAACCTCTTGAACATCTCCAGTGATGGAGAGTTCACAGCTTTCCTAGGCAGCTAGTCTACTGCCTGACTATTTTAACATTTTATCTTTCTGTGCCTCAGTTCTCCATCCGTAACAGGGGAAGAATAGCTTTGCCCACTGATACAGGCAGGGTAAATACGTTGAAGCTGGTGAGGGGCTCAGATGTCTGGTAAAAAGTAGGTAACCCAGCTTAAGCACCATATGCTTAAGGGAAAGGGAGTGCTCTTTGCAAGAGCAGCTGAGCTGGTCCTTTGAAACCTGAGTCCTGTAGTAGGCCTTGCTTGGCTTCCTTTGTAGGAGCTACCTAGAGCTAATAGCTGCAGTGCATATATATGCATGGGCTGACAAACTGTTTAAGGACATACTATCCAACTCCAGTGCATTTCTCCTGGCATAGGAGGGTTTTTCGGAGTTTTACTTCTGGACCTCAGAAAAAAGTCCCTCCTACATTTGCACTTTGACAGGAAAAGAGGAAGATGCCGGCAGTCCCTAATGGCAATGCCTGCCACCCCGAACCGGAACACCACAGCGGACCTGAACTTGAGCGAACGGGGAGGTGAGCTCACAGGATCCGGTATTTCTCTTTCCTCTCCCTAGCGATCGTCACCTACAAGCTGAGACAGTCATTTCCTTGGCTTCTCAACTGATTTGTCAGGTGACAGATCATTTAATAACTGAAGAATTGTTGCTAAATTAAGCATGCAAAGACTTCCCTCCCCCCCGCTTCTTATTAATGAAGAGAAAAAACAGTTAACAAGTTGAATGCGCCTGTTAAATAATTCACGTTGTTTAAGAAGTGATTTTGGTTTAGCAGGCCATTCGCTGTAAGCTGCAGTCTGCAGGGTGCTGGCCAATGCCCCACGATCCCAGGCTTGAACCCACCACTAGAGGCAAAAAGGATGGCTCCCCATGGAGAGCACTTAGCCCAGTGCTACCTACCACAGGGTTTCTTATGGCTGCCTCTGAAGCAGCAGGTAATGATCGCTGCTGGAGACAGGATGGTGAACTAAATAGGAGCTGTGCTCTGAACCGTTGGAGCTAGTCCTGCATCCTGAACTCCAGCCTCTTGGGATAACTTCCAGAGGTGACAGGCTGATTTTAATTTCACCGATCGTTTGGTTTCTGGCTTGTCTGCTATGAGTGTCCTTTTGGCAGCCAGTTATCACGATGGGGCTGGATGCACGGCACAGTTATATTGGTTTCATACACCTGTGTGGATGAGACTGGGAGCTGGAGCAGACAAATGGTCAGCTATTTCAGAGCACCTGCTTCCAAAACCTTGCCACTAAGTGACCGGGAGCAGCTAATACTTGAGTGCCATCAGGATGGTGCAGCATTTATGATGCTAGCCTGGGACTGAGGAGGTTTAGGTTCAGTTCCTACTTCTGCAACTTGGGCAGATCTCACCCCTGTTCCGTGCCTCATTTTCTCCATCTGTGAAATGGGGATTATGATACCGGCTTCCTTTGCACAGTGCTTTGAAGTCTACAGCTGAAAAGCTGTGCCTGGGAGCTGGGCTTGATACCTGTTGCTGTTATTGCTGTCTAAAAATGGTAGAGTACCTGGTGACACAAATCTCCTGTTTTCTTTCTGGCAGGCTCTTTGGGGGTTTGATTCTGGACGTAAAGCGCAAAGCTCCTTGGTTCTGGAGTGACTTTCGGGATGCTCTGAGTTTACAGTGCTTGGCATCCTTCCTCTTCCTGTACTGTGCCTGTATGTCTCCTGTGATCACTTTTGGGGGGTTGCTTGGAGAAGCGACCGATGGACAAATAGTAAGTGTGTCTTCTTCTCTGTCATACAATGAATCATTTCCAGGACAGCGGGCCAAGATAGCAAGAATACATCTAAACCTTAGCGCAATAGGCATTTCATTTCACTGCGAGTCAAGCGTGTTGGGTTTTGTTTTTGAGGTCACATTTTGAGCCTATAAGCACTTGGAAATGAGCATACGTTTAATTTTATGCCTGCCGTATTGTTCTTTTACGATGCCTAAGCAGTAGAACATAGGCCTCGGGTCGATGAGAAGCGGGCTCAGCGTGAAATAAAGTGTGTACACGGTTATCCACTGCTTGCTCTTTCTTTTAATCTGCAGAGTGCAATGGAATCCTTGTTTGGCGCCTCCATGACAGGAGTGGTGTACTCCCTGTTTGCCGGACAACCCCTCACTATCTTGGGAAGTACTGGACCAGTGTTGGTGTTTGAAAAGATTTTGTTCAAATTCTGCAAGTAAGGCCGGCTGCTCTTTAGACCCCACTGAACTGAGCTGCGTGGCCAAGTACTGAATGAAGCGAAATACATGAGAAAAGAGGCTTATTTATTAATGTATTTATTTTAAAGAGAGACATTGTAAGATGTAGGGTTATTTCTTGCATGTCACTGGCATGCTGCTGCTTGGCTGAGCGGTGGGGTAAGACAGGTGTGACTCAGGGTGCACAGATGCACGGTGTGCCTGCTTCAAGTTCAGTGCTTTCTGGGGTATTTTGGCAGAGGCATAACAGCAGTTTGGGAGCCCTGGGGAGAGATGCTATTGAGGAACCCCTTGCCCCTGTTCTGGGTACTGTTGCTGTGGCATGGGCTCCCCGCATCCCTGGTGGCTGCCCCAAACCTCTGCCCCAACCCCCGTTCTGGCACCCCCTTGCAAATCAGAGCCCTGCATGCCCTGCCCTCGTTAGGCTCCCGTTCCTCGCTCACCCACGGCCCCGTCTTGTCTTTTAAGCCTACTTGCTTCACTATAAACACGTAGGGGTAGTCTGCGAAGTCAGGCAGAAGGCAGGAGGGATTTGCACCTTCTAGCCTGACTCAGAAGCGCATAAGCTTTTGGGGACAACAGCTTGCTTTCTCAGATGCTATGCATCTGAAAGCTTATGCATCTCTGATTCAGTGGCCGCATCCACACATGTGCTTTACTGTGGAGCAGACGAATTAGTTGCGGAGTAAAGCGTCACCATCTACAGGTGCGATGGTATTAGGCTACTGTAAACTAGTGAATGCCAGTGTAAGATAGTGCTGTTGGGGACAGTACTCTCTGATGCCAGGGTAATTTACTGAGATTAAACACACGTGCAGACACTGACAGCAGGCGTAAATTGTGTCTGGTCAGCCGAGCCAGACTCGCGCCTGCTGCCTAGCTACGTGGCTCTGCACTTTCAGCACTCTCGTGCCCCGGCCAGCCCCTCCGCTGCCCAACACTGGCAGCCGCAGCCTGGGGCTGATCCCTCAGGCCCTCTGCCAGCCTGGGCCTGCTCTGCCCTGGCTCAAATTGCTGCTGTCCCGGGCACGTGTGTAGATGCTGCACCCAGGAATAAGTTTACTCTGGCTCAGACTGCTTCAGAGTTTATTGCTTTGCATTAATTGTCCGTGTGAGTCTATAAGGTGCAAATCTCCTCTGCCTTTATATACATAATTAGTGGAGCTGAGGGAAAAATATTCCTGGTTTTCAGTTCTGTTGGGTAAGGAGTAACCCCATGCGTAGGTTATGACACATTTGCCACCATGCTTTTTGCAGGGACTACACCCTCTCTTACCTTTCCCTGCGAACCTGCATTGGACTGTGGACTGCTTTCCTATGCATCGTCCTGGTGGCGGCTGACGCCAGCTCCTTGGTGTGCTACATCACGCGCTTTACTGAGGAAGCCTTTGCCTCTTTGATCTGTATTATCTTCATCTATGAGGCAATAGAGAAGCTGATCAGACTGGGAGAGATGTATCCTGTCCACATGCACAGCCAGCTCGACCATCTGACTCTCTACTAGTGAGTTCATCCTGGCTTTCCTCCAGGCAGGGTGCTAAGACCCCAGCCCAGCCCAATGTATGCCTAAGGTTTTCTCTCACTAGCAAAGTGTGTTCTTACATCCCCTTGGCTTCAGTGGGTCTTAAGCACCTTGGCTTAGGTGTATACTTAGAGGAAGCCTGGTCTAGCAGTTAGGTCATTAGTCGGGGGTTCACATGGCCTGATTTTAATTCCTGTGTGCAACAGGCTCCTGCGTGTGTGCTGTACGATACTATCATCTCTGAAATGGGGAATAATAGTCTGTCTCAAATGTAGTGAGGTAGGAAGGTGGTGAAGGCAGAAGTGTTTAGAAAACTCAGACGTGAGCCAAAGTACTTTGCTGAATTGGAGCCTTATTCAACCACTGTAAAAACCTCAACTGCAGCAAATGTAGTTTGTGAGTGTTTAGTTGTAAAGTGCAGGAATGTGATGCAAAGGTTTGGGCACATTTGAGCAGGGAACCTGCCAGCACGCAAAAATCACTGACATTTTGCTGGTGGCTTTAAACTCATTCTGCTGTCATGGTCTGGGGAGCCATGTCCTCGGACCGGGCATTGGGAGGCCTCGGTTCTACACTTACAAGAGCTGGTCCTTAAAAACCTCCAAGGATGGAGATTGCACCACCTCTCTAGGTAACCTGTTCCAGTGCTTCACTACCTACCTAGTGAGAGCGTTTTTTCCTGCTATCCAACCTAAGCTTCCCTTGCTGCAACTTGAGACCACTGCTTCTTTGCTATGTATGCAGAAAAGAGCCTAAATTCCCTGCTAAGTATAATTAATGTACTATATACTTTCAGGAAACAGGGAAGCAAGTGAAATCTGATCTCCAGCGAGTTAAATCCTTTGATACTTTAACTCCATTGCCTTGTCTTTGCTCCTAGCTGTAGCTGTGGAGCCCCTGCCAGCCCCAGCAATGAAACCGTGCAGTACTGGGACAGCATCAATATTGACCCTTCCACGCTTGAATGGGCAAACCTGACTGTCAGTGTAAGTGCCTGGGGCCCTGGGTTTCTACCTGTTGCATTTTACTGCTGAGAAGGCTGCACAGCAGTGACGTCTTGCATGTGATCACTGCACTACACTCCCTCACATGTTAGCTCTGCCTTTCCACCATGCAAATTTTTACTTAACTCCCTTATATTATGGGGCTTCACAGCATACTAGGACTTACATAATAAAAGTACAGGTATTCTGCTCTGGAGGTTTAAATGTGTGGCTTTGCCTTCTCTTGGCAATGGGAGCACTATTATTGGGGACTGTGGGACAAGAAGCCTTGTGGACATGTGGTTTGACATCCTGGTACTTCATGTGAGCTTTGTCTTCACAAAAGACCCTGCAGCCCATAGCATTTGCTCCTCTTACAACATCAGCATTGACACATCTCTCCATCCTCTGTTCCTTCCTTACCCCGATCATGAGCTATTTCCATTCCCTGCTTCCTTCCTCATAGACTGAAGTTGTGCTGAACACGTTAGGCTCCTTAATACGACAGATGCCCAAAAGCCTTTATGGATCTGGGCTGGAAGTTTGAGCCCCATACTTGAATGCCTTTTCCTTGCAGCATACAGTGCATATTCAGAACGGCTGCTGAGTCGTCCTTTTCACATCTTGATTATTGATTTCTCCAGGAATGCCAGGAATTGCACGGAGAATTTATTGGCTCTGCGTGTGGAGAGCACGGCCCGTACACGCCCGATGTCCTCTTCTGGTCCTGCATCCTCTTCTTCACCACCTTCATCCTGTCGGGCTCCCTGAAGATGTTTAAAACCAGCCACTATTTCCCAACAAAAGTAGGTAGAAGATGGTGACTAACCCCCAGCCCTGTCTGTGCTCCGAGGCCAGTATGGTAACACTAAGAAGTGTTTACTGCCCTATATCCCAGCGTTGTGAGCTGGTGAATTTTTCCATAGTCTTCCATGGGGGTATTTGTTTGGGTTTGTTGCGTCTCCATCTTGAGCTATGAACAGGGTTCCCCAGCTACCCCCGGGGCATCAAGACCGAGGACTTGATGCATTTCTTCCCAGCTCAAGGGGGAACCCTATGGAGGTTGCAGTCCAAGCCAAGTAAGCAGTCTACGTAGGGAACTGCTTTGCCTTGATACAGTTTGCCAAACACTCCTCTGCTTTCTCCTGCCAGGTGCGTGCCATGATAAGCGACTTTGCTGTTTTCTTAACTATCGTCATTATGGTGGTTATTGACTTTTTAATTGGGATCCCATCGCCTAAGCTGCAAGTTCCCCATGTCTTCAAGGTAATCACATGGTTCGATACACAACCGGTTTCACTGCTCATTCAGTACACTGTAACAGCATTTTAAAACCACTTTGCTCTGTGTCATGAAAAGCAGAGTGGTCTGGTGGATGGGCAGGGGTGGAGCAGTGTTGCTCTGAAAATCACAGCCCCTGGGATCTGCTCCACCTGCGCTGTTTCACCTGTGCATTTTGCTGCAGCCGACAAGAGATGACCGTGGTTGGATTATTAGCCCAATTGGACCAAATCCCTGGTGGACAGTGCTGGCTGCTATCATACCCGCTCTCCTCTGCACCATCCTGATATTCATGGACCAGCAGATCACTGCTGTTATCGTGAACAGAAAAGAGCATAAACTCAAGGTAAGAGGGGTTTAGGAGTGACCTGGCTTTCTGTTCCCTTCCCGTTGTGCTGCCATTTACCCAGTGCACAACGAGAGTGAAATGGCACCAAACCAGAGTGACGGCAGTGTGCACTGGCTTCTCATACATTTGCAAGGCCTTGCTTCAGGAAAGCATTAAGCACGTGCTTAGCTTGAAGCCAGCATTCAACTGTTTTTCTGAAGGCTGACAGAGATGATTGTAATTGCCTCTTCTTCTGGCCTGAGTTCATAGGTGAAATAATTGGAGTTGATTCAAAAGGATGCACAGTTGATTAAAAAGAAAAAGCCAATGGCTGTCAGCGGAGGCAAGATTCGAATCCTACGGATCTGCTTCCAAAGACCGTTCCAGTATCTCACGCCTGTGTCTTGGATTTTGTTCCCTTACAGAAAGGATGTGGCTACCACCTAGATCTACTAATGGTGGCGATCATGCTTGGTGTGTGCTCTGTGATGGGGCTACCCTGGTTTGTAGCGGCGACAGTTCTGTCCATCACCCATGTGAATAGCCTCAAACTGGAGTCAGGCTGCTCTGCCCCAGGGGAACAACCAAAGTTTCTGGGCATACGAGAGCAAAGGGTTACAGGCCTCATGATCTTTGTGCTTATGGGCTGTTCTGTCTTCATGACGTCCGTGTTAAAGGTAAGAGGCAGGAGCAGAATATCCCAGGGTTCGGCAGACAAGATTGCAGATGCTCAGCATGGGATTAGCCCATGAAACTCACTGTCATGTGATGTGGTTGAGCCAAGAGCTGCTTTGCTTGTACACCCCTTACCACTCCCGTGCTTGCCAGGGAACGATAGAGTTGGCACAGAAGTGCCATTTGCCCTTGCAGACGGGTTTTTCCGTGCGGATTCTGTCATCCGCACGTGTCGAGGGTGGCGTGAAAAAAATGAAGTGTGCAAAAATGACACTTGTTTTTAGTGTCATTGCTTGCTGCGTACCTACATAACCTTGGTAAAACAGGCTACTCTTCTCATACCTCATT